AGCTTCTGATCCTGACAGCGAGTTATTGCAGAAATCTTCGAAATCCACTACTTCGACACCAGAGTGTTTGCCAGTTTTGGGTACTGTAGCCACGCTGAGTTTTGCTGTGTCTGAGTTTTTTGTTTCTCTGAGCCTAACCTGATTTTTGTCTTTGCCTTTCGGCAGGAAATTATCCTGAATTCTGGATGTTTGGCCTTCTCCCCCTGGAAGGATCGTTTGTGCTTCACACTGAACATGGGATTCATCACCACACGTCCCGTTCAAGTTCTCCAGGAAATAAGTGGCAGTCCGCCCCACTGCTCCTCAGGAACCAACCAAACCAAAGACCTGTCAGCCCTCCAATGAGCCACTCAATTTCTGGATAAACCCACACTGACTGGATTCAGGGAAGAAACCTTTCTCCGCAGTTGTGAGTCCCGTTATCTCTTGAGTTTGCAAGTCGTCGTTCAAAGTTCCCACGGACCCTGAAATAACCTCAGTGAACTTCCCTTCTCACTTCCAGTTCCGGTTCACCAGCTCTCTGAGTTTCCCCGAATCCAACCCTTTGAACTCCTCAATAAACCTGTTAAACCTTTCTCGGGTTTCTCTGAGTGGTTTTCTGTATGTGGGTCAGATCTCTTAAGTACATCATGACACACCTCAGCAGACTCTTGGGTACGGAGGAGCAGCAGCTCTACTCCAGGCTCCCTTACCGTCAACCCTCCAGTCTCTATGTAAGGAGATACAATTGCTTTAATGACCATGTGATTTATGAGAGCCGCTTAAACTTGAACATACCAATGTATTCCTTCATGACTTGTGGGTAGTCTCCATGGAAGAGCGGTGTGGCGAACCAGCCCAGGTAGAAGTGAATGTACCTTTCTGCAGCTTCAATGTCCCTTTGGTTGGACACATCCACTGGTTCTCCCCAGTCAGCAGTCAGGGAGATCCCAATCAGACCTGGACCCAGTTGGAAAAGTTTGATATTGAGCGGAACTGCATAAATCAAACGACTGAGCCAGTTTTCTCCATCACCTTTTTGTTTGCTTCTCCACTTCATGTCATACGTGTGCCAGACCTTAGCGTGGGCCTGAAATGGAGACAAGAATCAACGGGAAGTCTTTTCCCAGGTATAACTTTGAAAGACAAAATAGTAAAGATGTATTCTTTATCATAATCATCGCATCTTTTCTTCCTTTGAAAGTTCAAGATATAACATCTGTGAAACAGTATTGTTTATCCGTCCTCTATGCGGCGTCTACAGGCTCTAAATCACTGATATCATGGAAAAATGTAGAGTTCAGTAAAATACCAGACGTGTTTATATTAAGCAATTAAAGTTATTAAGTTGATAAAGTTTTTTCCCCCAAGTCCAAGTCAAGTCATATCTCAATTTATAAGGGTCAAGTCCATTCAAGTCTCACTTCACTGAGAGCCAATCAAGTCGAAAGTCTTGAAGCGGGAAGTTTACATTAAATCTCAACTCATTTTTTCATGGTAATGACAGAGTCAGCAGCTGTTGTCTTCATGGCACTGAGTTTGATTTGGAGGATTTTCTTCTCCTCACTCTGAGCTGAAGAAGTTTATATAAAATTGGAAATCATTTTCTAAATCTGCACTTAAAATATTTGCTGTCAAATGTAGAACCGAGTCAAGATTCCAAGTCTTTAGGTTACTTGGAGTCTATGGCCAGTATGTTGTCTTTTATTATGATTAATCTGTTTGACTATACTCTGACTAAAACTCTTGTAACTGTGTGTTTAAAACCTCAATAAGGGATCATTTTATTAGCAGAGCTTTTGTCTAATTGATCACATGTTGGATATAAACCAGGTCTCCATACAAGCGGCTGGGATGGGCTGTTTGTGGAGTTATCTGGAGGGAGCTCAAAGATGCCCTGGTACCCTACCTCTAACTCATCAGGATTCTTTCAGGGTTACCATTACAATGAAAACTCTTTTTCTAAGATCTGTTATATTGTAAAAAAAAAAAATTCTGTTGAAAGCTTGAAAACATGTAAATATTAGTTTAGGTGCTTCCTATCTAAGAGAAGTAGTTTAGACAGCTTCTGTAGCCAGGTGTTGAGGTGTTCAGCTTTGGACTGGACCTCAGCCAGACTTACCTTGATGATGTTATGGGCTGCTTTGTAAGCCCCACTTCCCCTTAGCTTCATTCCTGGAGCATGCTCTCCCGTTTCGTATCCTTCTACAGAAATTGACTTAAACAAACAAGAGAACAAAACCCTCACCAAGCGCTTCACAGGTCAAACATTCTATCTGTCAGTGAACGCACCATTACTAATCACTCTGACTCACCCAGGGGTTGTTGAAGGTGATCCAGTGCTTGACGCGGTTTCCAAACCTTTCGAAACACAGATTGGCGTAGTCGTTAAAGTAACCGACCATGCTCCCGTTCTGCCAGCCGCCATATTTCTCCTGCAGCACCTGTGGGAATGTGGTGGAGAGCCACATCATTCATCCATCCAACAATCATCCATCCATCCATCCATCATCATTTATCATCAATTCAATCATCCATCCATCCATCCATCCTTCCATCCATCCATCCATCCATCCATCCATCCATCCATCCATCCATCCATCCATC